CAGCATAGGCCAGAGCCGTAGCCTGCGGGGGCAAGGGGCCGGGCAGCTGCGCCCCCCCCTAGAATTTTGGAGCAAAATTAAAAAAGAAATTGTTCTACTAAAAGATAATTTCCTAGTCAGAATGAAAAGCTGTACATGCTACTCAAAAAAGTTTTGCCTCAAATACCATCTCCTGCATCTACATTTTTCCATACATTTTTCGGTGGAGGCCCCCCAGCCCCCAGACCCCCCAGGACCCCACCTGTTTCTCACCTCCCTTGAAATCCTTGAATCACGCCACTGCCCCCCCCCCTAAGAATTTGCTCAGCCTACGGCCCTGCTAAGGCACTTGGAACCGTTCAATAATAAAATGATGGTAAATATAAAAAGGCTGTATTCACTACCAAAGCCTCAGTGTTTATGTATTCGTTATCGACTAATAATTCCACGTGAATGAGAAATCTGTTTGAGCACAGTGGCTTGCGTGGCGGTGAGATTGTGAACACATGTTGCACAGTGGAGCATCTGAACTGCATTTACAGGAAATTACTACTACTAATAGAGAAACATTGACTTTGGTAGTAAATATATTTCATGTTACTTTTACCATCATTTCTTATCGAAAACGGCTCCAAAGTGCCTGCGGTGTGCAGAGACACAGAGAGAGCTAGAGAGAGGCACGCGTTAAAGGGCCGGACACACAGCAGGCAGCGGGCGGATTAAGGCTCACTGGTGCCCTAAACACTGACCAATCTTGTGCCCCCTCCCTTTCCACACTGTCCGCCGCCCACCCCCCCGTCCATTTTAGTTTTGTTGACCTGTCTGACCAAAATATACAATTGCAGGCTTGCAAGCAAGTAACGAAAATTTATGTAGGATTTCAAGGAGCGGTGGTGATAAAACAGGCGGGGGGTATGGGGGTCCGTCCCCCAGAAATATTTTAAAAAGTAGCATGGCGGAGAGGTATACCATTGAGGCAATTTTAGAGCCGTACATGCATGTACACTCTGACTACGAGCTCAAATCTATTTGTTTTTTTTTTACACCTGTTTTAGCTTGTGAGAAAGAAACTCTTCTGTTGTGGGCAAGTTGGTGACCATTAATTTTAAAAACTATTCTTAAGGCCAATTCAAACATTTTGGAAAGGTCACATCTCGTAGTTTGTTCTTCTGTAATTGTGTGTGTAAAGTTCGATGTGAGTTGAAATATTTTTCTTTGGTTTGTTTTAAACTTATGAAGAACATATGAAATGGAACTCGCTGAAGCTCTGGTAGACCAAAGTGTTGCTTTCATGTCATCTGGGATAAGCCATACAATGAGTGTCTGCACAAAGTCTTGGAGTACCTTTCACTCTTCTAATAATTGGAATTAGCACCTTGGTTGTGGCATTAGAGGGGCCTCTTGTATTGTATTGTATGTTGTGGGGTCCCTGTGGTACACCTTGCGGAAGCTACAAATCTTTATTTGTTTTTTTTTCTTTTCACCCTTTTTCCCACTTGTGGTGCCCCTTGGCCCTGGGTGCACCTAAGCACGTGCTTAGTCTGCTTAATTGGTTAAATCCGGCACTGAGGGCCAGGCAGTGGCCAAACTGCGGCCCGCCGGAAGCCTGCAGCAAATAAAAAAAATAAAACAAGTAAAATACAAACCAAAAATAAATTTTTTATTTTTAAATCAATAAATTTTTTGAGTGAAAGTCAACATGTGTTCGCTTGAACGAAGCCCTGACTTTTCAGTGTCATATAGATTAGTGTTTCTATGTCTCTGCGTTCACTCTGCAACGCCATGTTCAGCGACAAATTATGGCCAGAAGATGGCGCCTCTGAGGCGAAACGTCACGTGTTATCTTTACGAGGCGCACCGCCCCGATTCTAAAGGTGCGCGCCTTTGACTTTGTCATGCCCCATCATGCGGCCCTCGCTTTTGAAAATGCTTTGCCCACCACGTTGCACTAGGCGATAAATGTGGCGACTACATCGGGCGACTAAACCGCCCGAACTTCTATCGCGGCGAGTCGCCGAGCTGCGACACACTAGGCGATTAAATTCGGGCGATTAATCGCCCGGTCAATAAGTCGTGCATGCCGCTGCACGTAGACGTGCGTGCGTGCGTGCGTGGCGTGTGCACAGTAACCTGGCGTGCATTTATGCTAGGTGCGTTCGTGTGTAATGTAAACGTGTGCGTGCGTGCGTACACGCTCCCCTTGCGTGCATGTGTGCTGTGCTGGCACGTACACGTAGCGTGGTGTGTACGTACACGTGCGCGCGTGCCGTGCGTGGCGTGCGTGTGCAAGTAAACCGTGCGGCTGTCATGCGTGCGTGAACGTGTGTACGTACTCGTGCGTTCGTGGCCGTCCCGTTGCGTCGCGTGTGCACTTAGCACCCGTCCGCGCAATGTATTACAGTCGAAGAACTAATAGTGTATGAGTCTAGCTACGGAGATCAGTCATTGTTCGCCGGCTGGTCATATAGCAAACAGCTGTGGGCATAGTCGTAACGGATAGGCGAGGACCGGCGGAATAGGGCAAATTATAGACAGCGCATGTAGCAGGGCTGTGGAGAGATCAATAGGAGCGTGGCTACCTATCCGCGATATATATAACCGCGTGCTGCGGCGCCAGAGACGGTAAAAGAGAGCCCTAGTTGTCACACAAAAACGATAGACCTATACGATATTAGTAGTTGCAGAACAGCGTAGCATGAGCGTCATACACCTCGTAAGTTGGATGTGAGGCTACCTTCGCTGTACGCTATTACTGTACGCATTTCGCCATGTATATGGCGCGGATGTACTGTAGTATAACCGTCAGTAAACTAATTAAAATATATTCCATAGTACGGTACATTACAATTCGTATTGTCTGTTATTTACCTGCATTCATCTAGGCACCTAGCAAGGTGTATTGCAAACAGACACTCACGCGTAACAAACTGATACATTACGGGTAGATTCGTCTACCTTATATCTACATGCGTTGTGTGCGTGCGTGTCGTGCGTGCGTGCGCACGTTTAACCTTGCATGCCATACGTGTGTGCGTGCGGATGCCGTGCGTGTGACGTTTACCTGTCGTGCGTGCGTACGCTGCCGTGCACGTTTATCTGCGCTGCATGCGGTGCGTACGCGTCCGCCCTGCGCTGCGTGTGCAGGTATCACGTTCGTGCGTGCTGTGTGCTGCGATCTCGTGCCAGGTAACACGTTGTGTGTATGTGCTGCGTGTGGTGTGCAGGTACATGCTGCGTGGTGCGTGCATGCATGTGCACGTAAAGACGTGCGTGCGTGCGTCTGCACGCTACACGTGCGCTGTGTCATGAGTGTGCGTGCGTGACGTGCGCTGGTCGTACACTGCGTTTCGTGTTCGTGTGTGCGTGCGTGTGCACTTACACGTGCGTACATGCGCTGCCGTGCGTGGGTGTGAACGTAGCACGTGCGTGCCTGCGTGGCGTTCGTGGCGGCCGTGGTGCTTGTGCACGTTTACCCCTTCGTGCATGCGCTGCGTGATGATGCGTGCGTCGCGCGTGTGCACGTTTAACCTGCGTGCATGCGTGCGTGCGTACGATGGCGTGCTGCACGTTTCATTGCGTTTGCATGCGTGCGTGCGTACGTGCCTGCGTGCGTGTGCAGCGGTACACGTTCCGTCGCGTGCGTGTGTGCGTGTGCCAGGCTACACGCGTGTGCATGTGTGCGTGCGTGACGTACGTGCGTTGTTGTGCAGGTACACGTGGCGTGCGTCCCGATAATATCAAAACGTTATGATCTAAGCGATGAAATCGGGCGACGAAAATCGGAGCCGACCCTAAATCGGCGGCGATTTGAAGTGGACACACTAGGCCGATTTGCACGGCGATTTGTGTCGCCAGCGATTTGAATCGCCTAGTGTGTCCGGCCTTTAGGAATATGCGCGCTGAGAGAATCCTGGGGAACCTGTTCCTGTTTCCTGGTTCCTGTTTGATTTATCTGCAGGATGAGTTGCATGTGATGACGGACGGGTGGTGTTTAGACGATGATCCTGTGATCTCTGCTCACAAACAACAA